AATAAGCAAACACTTACCATCATCATTCTGGGCCAAGCAATCTATGAAGGCAACTGAAACTGCAATGCTTATTGCTAACCATTTTGAAAAGCCAGGCTGCTGTAGCATTTTATGTCACGCTTCAATCAAGAGAAAGCTAGAAAGAGAGAGGGTTTATGATTAATATATTATTATCAAAACGGTGCATAAATTAACAGCACTTTTTCATCTAGGAAATGATTCCAAAATGACCTGTTTTTGCAGTTTGAGAACCAAGGCTATGGGTGGGGGGTGGGGAAATAGCATTACAAATAAAAGCTCAGTCCATTAACATAGCCTTAAATTATCCTTGCTCTGAAATACCATAGGTTAAACCTTGCCATGGAAAACTCCCCAACTCTAAAAATTTTTAAGAAAGATATTTCCTCCTTTGTAACTTGCCCGTTCATCCTTTGCAATGCTTTTAACAGCTGAAACCATTCAGTTCCTTTTGGTTTTTTTTAGTATGTCTACTTATGGAAGAAATGAGTAGGGTTTGAACTTTCCCCTGTTGTCCATTAAAGGACATAATCACAATGCCAGTTTTTACCCATTAGCTCCTCACATTGACATTCCATTTGCATTCCCAAAATGATTCAGGAGGGCACCAATTTGACCACTGCGATTTCAGATATATCAACAGCACTGTGAAAATTAGACTTGTGAGGACATATTTTGACTGCTGAAAGCCTACACTATCTAAATTGCAATGCATAGCTAATACACTCGTCCCTCTCAAGCAGACTGTTGTTACAATAGCATTAGCAATAGCACTTATATACCGCTTTATAGTGCTTTACACTTCCCTCACTAAGTGGTTTACAGAGTCAGCCTATTGCCCCCAACAATTTGGGTCCTCATTTTATCCACCTCGGAAGGATGGAAGGCTGAGTCAACCTTGAGCCTGGTGGGATTTGAACTGCCAAATTGTAGGCAGCTGGCTGCAGAGGTAATTTGCAGTACTGCACTCTAACCATTGCGCTCCTCCTCCTACAAGCTGCATTTGGAAATACAGGTAGTCCTGGATTTACAATAGTTCATTTAGTGACCGTTCAAAGTTACATCACTGAAAAGGTGACTTATGACTGTTTTCACACTTACAACCGTTACGGCATCCCCGTGGTCATGTGATCAAAATTCAGATGTTTGGCAACTGGTTCCTATTTAGGATGGTTGCAGTGTCCTGGGGTCATGTGATCACTTTTTGCAAACTTCTCACAAGCAAAAATCAATGGAGAAGCCATTTCACTTAACAATCGTGTTACTAATCTAACACATGCAGGCATTCGCTTAACAACTGTTGCAAGAAAGGTCATAAAACCTTTTGGGGCAAAACTCACTTAACAAATGTTTCACTTAGCAACAGAAATTTGGGGTTCAATTGTGATAATATGTTGAGGGCTACCTTTAAATTAAAATCCCGCCCATGCTGCCTAAAAATAGTTGTAAAATAGGCAACATTTTAATGGTTACAATATTCTCACCTCCATTACAACAGTGTTGCCCAATCTAAAAATCATAGTTACTTTATCACAAATACTTACCTAAGTCTTTCTGCAAATTAGCAACCACAATGAAATGACAAGTTATACTGCCAAGTCCCCTTTGTGTAAAAATAAAACTGAATAAAGCCTAAAATTAAACATCCCCAAATAAAGCAACAGAAAGGAGAAAACTAAACAATAAAGCAAAGGAATAAAGGAGAATAATACAACAACCTCAGTGAAGTTTTTTTAACAATACAGTAGAACAGTAAAGGATTAACCATCTAATTTAATACTTTTTTTCCCTGTTGGTCCATAATTGTGTGACTTTATGTCTTAGCTTTGTGAGCCCAGCTTCTTTTTTGAGTTTATTTTATTTCCAATGTTTTTTATTGTTTCTTTCTATTTTCTTTCTTATTGTTTAACAATTGCTAACGTCAAAACTATTCTACTTTCAGACTAAAATCATTTCAACCGTTGCTATCCTTTCTCTCCCAGAAGTCATTTTTTTGTCTTTTCTATCAGAGTTGTCCTGGGAGTTGACAAGAGAGCTTGACTGAACACTCCTGATATTTCAACTTTTTTTTTTTCCTGGTAGGTAGGGGAAAACAAAAACAAAAACCCAGCATCAGTTGTTTCAATTAACTAAATATTTGGGAAATAATTTGGGAAATAAATATTGATATATTTGAAGTGCAGCTAGAATTCTTTTAAAATGTGGATGTAGAACAAAGAAGAATGTAAATGGACAAAATAGATTTATCTGAAATGGTCTAGGGTTTCCAAAAACAAGAACAGGTGATTGGACTAAAAGTCCTGAAAGGCCCCTTCCAATTGTTATTCTGTAAAAAACGAAAGATGACAAAATTGATTTTAGACAAGTATAAACTATATAACACTGTAATAATTCTCCCATTCAGTCCCTTGGCAACCATCCGATTCACTGCATTTCCTGTCGTTTTTCATAATGCTTATAATTACAGCTAGAAAATAGGAAATTGGCAGACTGCAAAAGCACCAAACACATATTAATCTGCCACAAGATCCCAAAGGTCTCACAGGGTTATATCTTGTTTTCTTTCAAGTATTTGATTCTCCTTGTCTCCATAGCATCTTTCATTTCGTTTCATTTTTTCAAGACATTTTAAGACTGCTTCTCACACATACTCTTGATTTGTCCTCTGAACCCAGGTTTATTTCCTATCTACCATTTAGTCCAAGTTTTAGGCAACAATATAAAATCTACCTACATTTACTTAAAATCATCATTTGGAAATAAAAGGTGAGAAGCCTTTGCATGTTATTTAATGAATCTTATAAAATATTTTTAGAGGATTATGTGCATGTCTATCTACTGCCAGTAAATTGCCTTGTGACATTTTTTGTGAACAAAAGTTCTATATATTAGGAATTTCATTTAAAAAGAAACATAAATCTTCAGTGACGGGAATGAAGTTTAGTTCTAAGTTAATGAGATCAGTAGTAATGAAATGCATAGTTTTCAGGGATATGATTGCATGAAGATTTTATCAAGAAATAACAAAAATCTTTATATAAACATTTGGTTGTCATCAAGCAATGCATTCCAAGGAATGAATGAATGAATGAATATATATATATATATTCTCATTCATTCATTCATTCATTCTTAAGTTTTCACGGGTACTTAAGTTTTCACTTATATGTATGGTATTCAGCTTTGTTCGGGTATTTTCCCACGTCATTATAGTTGTGCTTTTAAAGTTGTAGCAATGTTTCGGCAGAATCTCATGCCATCATCAGGCTTCTGTATTGTGTTCATCTGTGAGTCAGACTTTTACAGTCGTTTCAGCTTTAAATTTGGGACTAGCCTACTGCTGTGCCAGAATGGTTTTTTCTTCATCCTGATTGGTTGGGAGTCTTGGTCTGTGTTTATTGGTCTTGGAGTTTGCTGTGTTCTGCTTGATTGGTGTTTCTGATATCTTCTGTCTGTTTTGTGGCTCTTTTTGTATCTTGATTGGCTGGCAACATTGTGTTTCTGTATTGGAGGCTTTTAGTGCAGCTTGGCTCCGAGTAATTGGACGGCTATCATTTGTTAGGAAGCTGGGTTTCATCTGGGTGCCTGGTTGGGGTATGTTTTAGCTGGAGGTATCAGGGGGGATCTGTTTGTGCCCAGGTGTTTGCCTGGCTAGTGGTGTAGAAATTTTTTTGTTTGTGAGTGCAGGCTTCCAAATGATTGGCAGTCTGGTGGAATCATCTCTTCTATTCATGCCTTCAGGTCTTTTTTCAATCTCTATGGCTTCTCTGATAATTCTGCGGCTGGGGTTTTCTATAGTGGCTAGGGTTTTGGTGCCATTGAAGTTGATGCTATGACCTGTGGCTTTCATGTGTTGGACTAGTGAGGAAGTGTGTTCCAGCTTTTTTACTGCATTTTTGTGTTCATCCAGGCGGGTACTTATTCTTCTATTGGTCTGTACATATATTGGTCTGTATCCCGCCTGGATGAACACAATACAGGAACACAATGTTGCCAGCCAATCAAGACACACACAAAAAAAGCCACAAAACAGACAGAAGATATTAGAAACACCAATCAAGCAGAACACAGCAAACTCCAAGACCAATAAACACGGACCAAGACTCCCAACCAATCAGGATGAAGAAAAAACCATTCTGGCACAGCAGTAGGCTGTGTAAGGCTATATAATCATATATATATATTATTAAAAAAAGAAAAAGAGCATAAAGCAGATCAGAGGCCATATTAATTTCCTGTGGGCATTGTACTAACTTCATTCTAGGCTTGATTTATTTTAGGGAAGCAAAGACCAAAAAATACCTGCTTATGATATCTTTTACCAACAGATATGAGAGGACATAAGCAAATTATATGCCATTCATTGATAAGATCTAGACAAGGTTGTCAAAAAATGTCCATTGTGTGGGTTTATTAAATTAAGATATGCTATAGAATAGTACTGCTTGTTTGAGTTTTTGTATATAACATACAAAAGAAATCCATTACACTGGATGTTTCAGAAAGTTCTATAGAGTAGGAAAACAATGCTCCCTCAAGCCCTCCTAATAGTGTGTGAATCACTCAAGAACTTTTGTAAATATTTACAAAAGATAACTCATTAAACAAATCAGCATAGTTATTTTACAGCTCTTGTACTGGTTATTTTTTAGTCTGTCCTGGTACTTGGTTGGAAATCAGAATGCATCATTCCTATGTATGGGGAAAAAGAACTTCACAATATTATTTTTCCTTCCTTCCTTCCTTCCTTCCTTCCTTCCTTCCTTCCTTCCTTCCTTCCTTCCTTCCTTCCTCCCTCCCTCCCTCCCTCCCTCCCTCCCTCCCTCCCTATTAGCTGCAATTGAAATATTATCAATAAATGAGAAACAACTCTAATGATTGTAACCCTTTCAGTAGGTCATAAAAATTGAATAAGTAAATATAAAAATCTTAATATTCACAATACAATTATACATTCAGAAGAAACAATGCAAAAAAGCAATTAAAATCATAACCTGCAAATAATACAATAAACAAGGAAATGGGATCATTTACATTCAAAGACCCTCTTTAATATCTCAATTTTAATAATTGTTAAATCCTAAAAGTTGGAGAGGTGATTGAATTTCAGGGACCAATAT